AGTATAAATTAAGCTCTGCATGAGGCAATCTGACTACACTTTACGTATGTCCGTATTCTTTTAATTATTTTACTTCTCAAAATGTATATTTTCATGCAAGATAATGCTCTTTTAAAACAACTAAAACAGGGACCAATCTGAATGCATACTAATAGGGACTGATTAAATAATTATGATATATCCATCCAATAAAATATTTTGCAGTAGTGTAAAAGGATTGAGAGCTTAAAAAGATTCCTAAAACATATAAAGTGAACAAAAAAGTTGAATAACATATATATTATATCCCATTGGCTTTAAGAAAATAAGATATATAAGTATGGGGTCATGTTATTGCTACGGTTTGAATAAGTGCCCCTCAAAGGCTCGGGTGTAAAGGCTTGGTCCCCAGCCCATGGCACTACATGGAAGTGGTAGAACCTTTAAAAGGGAGAGCCAAGTTGGAAATCTTACAATCAATAGGGAGATGCCCTCCAAGAGGATTGTGAGACTCTGGTTTCTTCCCCTCTCTCTACTATCTGGTCACCATGAGGTGAGCGGTCTCTACCATCATGCACTCTACCATTATGTTCTGCCTTATAACAGGCCCAAAAGCAACAGAGCAAATCAACTATGGACTGAAACTCTGAAACTGGGAGCCGAGACAAGCCTTCCCTCTTCTCAGGTTGAGTTACCTCAGGTTTTTGGTACAGTAACAAAAGGTAACATATGTGTTTATGCATATGGTTTTTCTTAAGGATACAAAAGTTAACTGTAGTTACTTCTGGAAATGTAAATGCAGGAAGATGCAAAAATATTTTGTTACTCTCTGAATTATGATTTTAAATGATTTATGTAATATAACATTTATAAATAAAAATTTCAATTATCTCAAATCTTGAGATTAGTCCTCAACATGCCAGATAATTATTTTTTCTCCCTAAGTAGCAGTTATAATCAAACCTATATTCCTGAGCTCTATTCAAATAACCATATGAATATATTCCCTTCCCTGCATATAAATTTTCTAGCCCACATGAGGTCATTTTCTCCCTACTGTGGTACAAAAGGCTCAACTGGCTTCCCTTCCTACACAGTCATACCTCTCAGTCAGCCTTTGCAAAGTTCTTATCTTTGCAAAGAAACGTTTTTGCAAGTTCTTATCTTTTCTTTGTGCTCACTAGCCAATTCTCAGACCTGCGTAATCATTCCAGTTTCAGGCCTACTGGAAATTCACAAAAGGCACACATTAATGCTACCCAACCTCAGCTGGGGCCTCTCTCTTTTACATGACAATTCCTTTGATGCTCCACTTCGCCTCAGCACAAACTTAACAATGTCATATAAATGAATAACATTTGCTGATCATTTGCCACATGCCAGCCACTAGGGATTCCCTTATTATACATATTTATTTAGCACTGATGACATGTTGCCTTAATATCTGACATATAATGGCGAGTGAAAAGTTACTGCACTGGGGTTAGTTTAGTACAGATGACAGACATTAATCAAATAATTACAGAAATATAAAATTACAATGATATGGAGAAATACTTGATGCCTTGTAAACTAATGAATATCTGAAGGAAAATGGTGCTTTCTTAAAGCAATCTTGATGACAGAGCTAAGTTAATGAGACAAAAGCAGTAGTGGTGACAACTACGAACCCCTTCAGCCTGAAGAAGCTAGTCACTGCCCCTCACCCCCTCACAGCAGTTCAGGACACTTCTTCAGAGGGGGAATATTATAAATAGATGAGATAGGTATAAATATTATAGGCATTCAGATAAGGCTAAGTCCTCAAGAGGGCCAGGACAAAGGTGAAACACACCACAGCTGCACATTGGCTGAAAACCAGGCCTAAAGATGGAGACAAGATGACCCGACCCCAATACTTCTTCAAAGATTGGGCTTAGTGAAGTATAGATAGGCATTGACCATCCTGGGAGTGACCAGAGACCTCTGGAACCACCGCCTCCTAGGAGAAACCTTGTTCTTTCCATCCACGCTTACTATGTGACTTCCTTCCCAATTGAAACACCATTGGCTAAGTGACTATACTTGTAATCTTATTGGATATTCATGGCTGTAGCCCATGTTGTTCCCATGTGGGTTTCACCCTACAAAACTTCTCTGTAAAGTGGGGTCCTTGGGCTACCCACTTGGGATCCTCTCCTGGCCCTCAGGAACACTCCTATCAATAAACATCTTCCTACGTTTAACAAAAAAAGAAAAGGAAAAAAAGCAGTAGTGGCAAGAATCTTTATAACAACTCTGCAAGTGGACACTAACATTAAGTTCATTTTACAGATAATACCACAGAGATTTAGATCACAGAGGTAATAAATAAAAAAGCTGAGTGGTATGGAATCTAGACCAATGAGAAGTATCACTCAGAAAGCCTAGCACTGATGCCTTATACTTTTAAGACAAAATCCTCTTTTACATAGCAAAAAATCCTTCAAAGTCTGGTCCTCTCACCCCTCCAGTCCTAAATCCCAACTTTCCCCTACTCCTCAACACACCTTCAACTTCAGTGCCTGTCATTATTTTGCATGGCTAGAATCCTCACAGTTTCCATAGCAATATCCAGTAGACCTCGGGCTAGAATAATTATCAAACACAGGGAACTGGCCACTCAATACAGAGGACTGGGGACTTGACAAAGCATCTTTTGGACCAAGGAGGTAGCTCAGTGGCACCACACCAGCCTGGCAAGCACAAGGTCCTGAGTTCAATCCCTGGTACCAGAAAAAATAAATAAATAAAACAAAACAGATGACTGGAAGGTATGGCTATGAAAGGAGAAGGGAGGCTCTTTTGTAGATAGTCCTTCCCTCCATCTGTCTCCTCATTCTGAGCGTAGAAAAAGCTATTAAGCGTTTAAAACCCATATCAAATGTCCTGTCCTTGTACTTCCTCAATAAAGATAGTGTCTTTATCCTATTTTTCCTCCCAAGGTTCTCTGAATATAGCTGTAATATACTCAGTCACTGGTGTGTGACTTCTCTAGACTTAGAGTTACATACCTATCAGTAATATTCGTTGTGTATCTAGATAAATCCAAAGGTGTCAGTCCTCATTTTACCTAATCCATCAGCTACACCTGATGAAAGTGAAGGCTATTATTTCACCCTGAATGCTACAACACCAGACAACAAACTGTCCTTGTCCCCCACTGGGTGTTGAGTCTATCCCTTTCGCTGGTTCTTCCTCACCTACCTAATTTGTAGATGCTAATACATCTAAGGAATCGGGCCTTGTGCCATTTCTCTTTCCTGTCAACATTCACTCCTTTAATGACAGGCACTAATCTCATGACTTTAAATATCATCAATTCACTGACAACTCCCAAATGTTTGTTCCTAGCTATGACCATTCTGCTGCACTCCAGGTTCATATACTCAACTGCCGGCTCCACATTTCCATTTGGACAACTAACAGGTATCTCAAACTTAACATGTCATAAATGAACTCCTCATCTTCTCCCATAAACCTGTACCTCCCACAGTTTTCCATGTCTCAGTTAACGGCAATTTCACTCTTCTAGTTAATCAAGCTTAAAGCTTTGAAAATTACCTTACAATCAAACCCACATTCGATCCATAAGCAAACCCTGTTGGCTTTACCTACGAAACACATCCAAAATCGAACTATGCTATTCATCATCGTCACTTCTTTCCTTCGATTAAGATGCTATCGTTTCGTCTGAATTATTACAACACCTCACTAATTAGTCTCCTGGCTTTCAACTACCCCACCTTCCAACAACATATTCTTAACATAGCAGCCAGAGTAATCCTATTAAAACCTAAAACTGATCACATCATTCTTCTGCTCAGAACTTTCCACTGGTTACTCACTAGGCTCTTCAAGGTAATTATCCCACATTAATTATACAGAGTTGCTGTGCACATTAAGTGAATAATACAGGCATATTTTTAGCACAGTGCCTGGCTACCATTTAAAACATTAGCTGGTAATATTAGTCATTATTTTACTAAAGCGAAAATGATTCCAAAACACCCTAATCCATTGTGGGCTATTTAGAGCCACGCTTAACAGGTCAAATGTTCAGAAGCCAGTTAAGCTAATATGTATGAAGAGCCATTTGAAAAGTTAAAAGCAGTTAAGTAAAAAAAATCACCACCTCTAAATTGTGATATATAAAATACAGCTACATCTTTTGACTCTAAGAATTTTATTTTGAAAAACCACTATTCGCACAGTTATTTTATATTCCAACAAAACAATGAATTATATTATTTCCACATACTAAGCTGTTCTCTGAACGAGGTCGCTCGTTATTTTTGAAATAAAAACATATGGCCAAGTTTTGGTCCAGCCTATCACCAGACAGTCCAAATGGGTTAATAAATGAACATTTCATTTGACACATCTTTATCAAGCTAAAATCTAATTGAAATCAACATGAATATATTAAAGCTATTTTCTAACAGAAGTATGAGTCACAATTAACTTTCCTCGGCCATAAATAAAAACTTTCCTCTTGAGATCATCCACTACAGAATTCAACTGAAGGTCAAAATCAACCCACGATTTCAGATGGGCTAATATGGCAGGGACAGATTAGTCCGTAATAACAGGGGTGAATAATAAACGAGAGTAACATTTTACTCCCCTACACCTTCCTCCTTAGCCTTTCTCCCCAAATAGTTTGAAGTTAGCTGAAAGGTGTAACGTCGTGTATTTTTATTTTTTTTGTCTCCCAAGATTTGAGTATATGGAGGATTAACAAACGAAGAAAAACAGGCAGATCGAACCAAGGGAGAAATGACAGGCCAGGGTAAATCAAAGTCAGCAAGCAGCCAGAAGAAAAGAGGAAGTGGGGATCCTGCAATAATATTCCCATCCGTAACACTCAGCTGCCACAGATCTCATTCCCGGAAGACTACGCAGGCCCACCCCATTCCTTTCTGCACAGAGACGAGAGAGTAATCCGAGGACAAAAGAAGTAGGCCTTTGCAGGAGTACAAAACTCCACCAGCTTTGAATACCTCTAAACCTTCGATTCTTGACTCCTGAAGTGGTCGCGTGATGATGACGCCAATGGCGCGCCGGCTCCGGCTGCAGCGCGAGCGTCGCGCTCCGATGACTTCACGCTGGTCGCCAGGCCTTTCAGTTGCTTCGCTCGCAACTCTGAAACGCAGTGTTCTTGAATGCAAGGATGTCGAAAGATTTTTGAGCAGAGGCGCTGGACACCTTTACCTAGTTTTATTCGGCGAATGTCCACCCCGAATACAAGTTGAGCATACTTAACTAGAAAACAGTGTTAATAAAGCTTTGTTCGCGTTTTTGTTTCGGCTGAAGCGCCTTTCAGGGCCCTGATTCTAACATTCTATCTGCCTCAAAATTAGGTTTCTAAAGCAGCTTCCCAAATTGTCCTCGACAAAAGGACGAGTTTTTTTGTTTTTCACCCCATCACTGAGATACTTTTCTAAAATACAGTAACAATTAATGCTGGAAAAACGAAATGTGTAAAATACAAGCTCAGATTTTTAATTACTATTTTTACTACAGGTAAAATTGTACTTCGGTAAACAATCACAAAAAAACCATACTTACTGTTCAAATTGCATTGTTTGATGTTTGTCACTTTTTATCGTTCCATAGTCAATTTAACAGACGTTGTAAACTAATAGTAATTCATATACTGTATTAGATGCCCACAAAAGCTCTTTGAACAATCGCGGTGTATGTCAGCTCAATAAGTTCTTAAAATGATAAATAAGCCTTGTTCCTGATTAGTTATTCAACAGTTGGATTAAAGATGAAGCTTCTTTCAGTGTTTGAAAGGATTGTGCGCATTTTGAAGGTTTTTATTTTCATACTATGGAATAGAAATGAGTTTTGGGTAGCTATGCTGATAGAATAGATCTTAAATCTATTTCGGCAAGTTTAGAATATTTATTCTTGAGTTCTTTCTAGAGTGAAATAATTGATACCACATTTTCAAAATTTATTCATCAGTTGCCACTTCCAACAAATTATCCTTTAGAGTTACCATTAAATGTATACATTAATGAAAGAAATAGTTCCAGATATGCACTATTAGAATCACAATTTCCAAACTAATCTTAATGTCACAAACTAATGTGGTCCCATTGCACATAACTAGTACACAGTTCATATGGCAAGGAACGCAATATGAGTTTAAAAACATAATCTACATCTTCAAGAAAACCAGTTCACTGATCACTAGTATTGCAGCAAATATGAAATTGCTATAAATATCACTATCACCTTGGCACAGGACAAAATGCAGTACTCTCAGCTTCTGAGTTATTCTGGGTTCAAGTTTCCCAGGTCTCAACCTTTTTCATGGTGAAGATTTGCATCCAATTCCCAAAGAGTGATCTACAGATCAATTTCAGTCCATGAATTATTGTTATATCTCCACAGAGATATGAGTGCAGAAATTGAAAATAATCACTTAGGGGCTTTTCTGCTAACCTGGTAGTGAGCTCCAGAGCTAAAAGTGTTCCTGAGAGAAGACCATATAGGGCAGAAATGACCAGCTGCTTCTCTACATTCAGTCAAAGAACTGCCCTCCTTCTGTGTTCAGTGAGTGTGGTGGAAGCTGTCTTTCAAGAATGTGGCTTCAGCTTTCAAGCTGATCCTGAGATGCTAGCACTAATTGTACCCCTGTATGGAATGGTAACAGGCCTGAGGCGTGCAGCTCTGCAGCTGCCATACACCAAACATGTAGCACCATAATTCCATGATTTGTTCAACAAATATTTCCTTACTCCTCGTCATGTGTTGAATTCTATTCTACATGTTATAAATACAGTCGTTTTTTAAAGTCTTCCTTACAGAAATTACATTTGAAATTCTTACTTGAAATCATTTTTTTTCTTTACCCTACTTAGTCTCCCATTCTTTTTTTTTTCCGCTTCTTTTTTTCTCCTTAATATCCTGTCCATTTATACACTTGAACCTTTCTGATAAATGTTCAGCTCCCTAAGGAGCAATGAAGGATGAAAAAAAGCCATCCAAATCGTAGACAGATGAGAAAAACGTGTAGTGATAGCATATCAAAACCACTGTGTCATGCTATATCACAGATCCTGTTACGGTGGTCTCCTGTGTGGCAGGGGAAACTTTCTCAGACTCACAGTGGATTCCTGAAATCATGAATAATACTAACCTCTATACAGAGGGTCCTTAACTTATGATGGGACTACATCCTGATAAAATTTTAAAAAATCAGAAGTTGAATCGTCATTAATCAGAGAACATCTGTATGTGTTGTACTATGCTTTACATTTGTGCCCTTGTCTTCCATCTCTGTGTTTTGTTGTCCTACGTGTTTTACATCAAAAAGTTTAGTGAATGCAGGATTTGAAAACCTTCCTAAAATTAGATGGTCTCAAGATGCAATTGTATAAGGCAATGGTTATTTAAGAAATTGATTTCTGTCATATTTCTTTAAAACTCCCTTTCAAACATTGCCACATACCATCCTTCAAAAAAAAATCAATGTTTATTGGGCTGTGGATTTAGCTCAGTGGTTCTTCCGCCTACCTCTCAAGCACAAGGACCCGAGTTCGAACACCGGTACCAAAAACAAACAAACAAAAAAACAATGTTTATATTCATAATGAAAATGCATTTATTATCCAGAATGAACCCTTCCTATGAATTGCATGTAGCTGTATGCTCTGATTCCAAACCTGCCATTTCCATATCAAGATTAACCTGAGTTTTCTGGACTGATGCTCAAGGGTACAAGAAGGAGGCTCCTGGATCCAGGAATCAGAGGTTATATCTCATCAACAGGGTGAGTAGATTCAATTCATGGGAGTATTCTCACCCTAAATCTGTAAAATCATGACTCCTGACCTACTAATTAGGAGAAAAGGTGAGAGATTTTTCTTTCTCTTTAGGATAATTGTGTTAAAGAAAAACTTAGAAAAACAATGTGGGAGTCTACTGAAAACTGTGAGTACAATAAAAATGTCAAGTGTTTTGACATGTACCACTCACTGATCCTTAGCAAAAAATGTTGGTAAGGAGCATATAGACTATGTCTTTTTTCAAAATGATTCAAGTTGAAAATATACAAGAAGTTCTTAACATGTAAATTTTTCAGTGTTTTGATTATTGCAAATAATCGCAAACTTTCCTCAACTATAGTAATATGTAATATTTCTAAGACATGGACACTAAATTATTTTGCAAAACCACTTAAGTAGTAAATATGCTTATCTGACTGACCAGCATCTGTTCATACCAGGTTTCTGTCCCTTTTTATGCATCTCATATGTAGTGCAACACTAAGGAAACATAAACTTTATGTTTTTTGCATGAACAATGACACCAAAAAGAAATCTACTCACTGATGTTAGTGGTGAAAGTGAAGAGCTCAAATGGAAAATTTAATTAAATGATAAGTCTCAACATGAAAACAGAACTTATTCAAAAGTGTAATTGAAAATCCAATGTTGACTTAGATCTAAGACATAAAAAAATTCACATACAGGAAAAATCTATCTTCCGATATAATTCTAGATAGTACAAAAATTGTTTATCAGATGAATGATAATTTTACACTGAAATGTTTGTACATGTTACTCTTAAACCCTTTCTAAAAAGTTGTTTTCTATGCATATTTTCAAACCACAGGTTAACCTTTCCTACTTCTAGCAGTGAGGCTTTAGTATTGTATATGATTATAAGACAATTAAAAGGCTAGAGTTAGAATGGAAGAATTACATTTCCTAGTAATATTTTTCCTAAATTTTATACCATAAATTAGGTGCTATACCTTGTAAGTTTAAAGATTTGAAAATGATTTCTATATGTATTCCTTATAAGGCCAGGTCTTACTGAATTTTCAACATCATAGGTAAGACAGCCTTCTGTTAGGAGAGGTGAAAATAGTTTAAACAAACGAATAGTTTGCCAATAAGTTTTCAGCCCTTTCAATGACTGTACTTTTTACCGTGTGACTTTCCCATTCCCTCATTAGGATGTAGAGTATATTTTCCCATGCTTTGATTCTGAATTTGGCTATTTCAATCATTTTGACCAGTGAGATAACAATGGATATAATACAAGAGGCTTAAATATCTGGGTCTACTGTGTTGTGCTTCTGTCACCACAGTGAAAAGCTTAAGCCTCATTAGCCCATCATCCCAACCTGAGGGTGAGAGACACAAGAAACCATGCAAAGTTGCCCCAGCTGAGACCAGTCTAGATTCATAGCTGACTCACAACGCATCTGATGGATACATGAGTGGGCCCAGTTTAAAGCAGCTAGTAGGCCAAGTTAACCAAAGCCTTCAGGTTCCTGAAAAGTAAGTGTACAGATGTTCCTTCACTTATGATGGGGATATGTTCCAGTAAAACTATCATAGAGCCAAAAATGTATAGACCAAACCCTTGTACATGGGGGACCCTCTATATACAGTGTTGTTGAATTAGTCAGTTCAGGGTGTTGTAACAGAATTCACAGACTGAGTGGCGTAAACATCAGAGATTGATTTTCTCATATTTCCAAAGATTAGAAGTCCAAAACTTTCTTCTTTTAAAGTTTAGAGGATAATTGTATCCTCTAGTATTATAAATGTAGGACTGTACTGTATCATACCTCTGTGAATGTAAAATATCTTGTACCTGCTTTATGATATGTAGTAGTGACCATGCTTTATCAGAGCTGTTTTTAATGATGTTACTCTAGAATGATTTCTCTCCAGATGATGATTAAGATGCTAATAAAAAAAATGGTGCCAGGTACCACAACAGTAACAGAACTTTGCTGTTTTCTGGGTATTATTCTTTCCTTTTTTTTTCTTTTTGTTTTTTTTAATGGAGTGTGCTGGATGTCTTGTCTAGGTGTTAATGGTACGATTAAATGGGCCTGAATGGGAAAGTTTCTTCTTGTTTCATTTGCAGGCATTTGGTCATTTATTTTCTTTGAGGGTTTTATCTCAGAGCATCTACTCCAAGGCTGAAGGAATTCTGAAACTATTACTAAGCACATTCCATGGTTTCCCTTGCTCACCCTGCCAAACTAAGGAGTAACTGGGAAAATTTTGGCACCATTTGTGGCTTTCATCCCCAGTACCTCGGAGAAAGAAGGGCATTTTTGAGGACCCTATGAGCTGCCCTCTG